CCGATTTGGTCAACATTTCCGAAATATAGGAAATGTCGACCGAAATAATGTAATTTTTATATTACCATCCATTTTCATGTTGGTGAGCCTCGACATCGACATATGTCTGGTGACATTAGCGAACTGTTGCAACATTTGAAACCATGCTTCTAGGGAAACCAAGAAGCTAGAAAAATTAATGAGGGATTTCCTTTGGGAATTGGGAGAGAGTAGGAAGAATCATCTAATCAAATGGGAAGTGGTGTAAAGAGGAGGGAGGTTTGGAAATAGGAATTATTGTGCAGAAAAATACAGCATAATTGGGGAAATAGTTGTAGAGATGGCCAATATAAAGAGAGAGACTGTGGCACAAGGTGGTGGGAAGTATCCATGGTCAATCAGAGATTGGATGGGATGCTGGAATATCTCGGCAGGCAACATTGGCAACACCTTGGAAGTTGGAAGGCAATTCATAGTATTCTTCCTCAATTCCTTAACTTCGTCATGTATGATGTGTGTGGTGGTCATTCAGTCCGCTTTTGGGAAGATCCTTGGGTTGGAGAGGCTCCTTTGAAGGACCTTTTTCCATCCTTGTATACTGTCTCTCAATAAAAAAATGGGCCTGTTTCAAAAATTATTTTTCCCTTTGGAAACTCCTATGTCACCAATTTGGGATTTTGGGTTCCATGGAGGGTTAAGGGATGAGGAGATTGAGAGTCTAAATCCCTTTGAACCAGACAATAGAATCTAGACTTCTTGGCCCTTTGGTCTTTTCTCTTGTTCTTCTTTTTTTAAATCCCTTTGTTGATCTTCTTCCCATCAGATGATTCCCATTAAGGAGGTTTGGTGCAGGCCTAGTCCCCCCAAGGTTTTGGCATTTTGCTAGGAAGTGTTCTATAGGAAAGTAAACACCTCGAATAATCTACAAAAGAGAAAACCTTTTCTCTGTATCTCTCCTAACTGGTGCATTTTTGCAGGTCGCATGGTGAGGATTGTTATCATGCACTAATCTCTTGTTCAGTTACTGCAGAATTGTGGGATTTACTTTTCTTGATTTTTGGGTGCAGGTGGAATAGGCCAGCAGAAGTAAGAATGCTTTTTGATCTGTCTACCCTTGCTTGGCGACATAGAAGAGGAAGAATGATGTTGAGGTGTGCAAGAGCAGCTCTAATATGGATAGTGTGGGAAGAAAGGAACACAAGGATTTTCCAAGAGAAAGAGCGAAGCCTACAAGAACTGAAGGAGTGTGTCTTGTATAGAGCCATCTTGTGGCTGAAATCTCTGTATCGTTTTCATCAATTTTTCCTTTGATGATCTTTGGAGGAGTTGGGCAGCAGTGGCAAGCTCCTCCTCCCTTAAGAAGAGGTGTTTGAATTGGGCTGTCCTGAAGGCTTTATGAAACTAAATTTTGATAGTAGTACCAAGGCAATCCAGGTCCTTCTGGGATGGGAGGGGTTACAAGGAATGAAAGAGGAAATGCGGTTATATTATACTTGGGCCCCTTAGGAGTGGGGGACTCCACTAGGGCAGAATTATTAGCTGCCCTTCAAGGGGTGAAGTTTGCAGTACAGCTAGGACTGGAACATCTAATAATAGAAAGATACTCCAAGGTGATTGTGGTATGGTTACAGAAACCAGAGTTGGTGGTGTGGTGTTTTAGGAATGAAATTAAGAAATTCAAGTGGCATCCCCCTGATTGTGTTTTCCTCAAATTAAACTTTGATGGAAGTAGCTTTGGCAACCTAGGAATGTCTGGAATTGGAGGGGTGATAAGAAATGACAAAGGGACTGTGGTGGGGTTGTTCTGAGGACCTATTGGAAGAGGAGACTCCATTAGAGCTGAACTAAAGGCAGTGGTGTTTGGGATACAAAAGGCTATGGAGTTGGGAGTGAGGAAGCTGGTTGTGGAAGGCGATTCCAAAGTGGTTATAACCTGGTTAAAGCAAAATGAAAAGACTCCCTGGCTCTTCAGAAATGAAATTAAGAAGTTTAAATGCTTTTCCAAGGACATGCAGTTATTAATTCAGTGGACTCCAAGGGCAGCAAATGGCTTTGCAGATCAGCTATCTAAACAGGGGGTTAACAGGGAATATTGTTTCTGGGTTCAGTTGTAAGGCTGGAAAGTTAAAAGTTAGTTGGAAAATTCTAAATTCTAGTGGGGTAGCCGAGGCTACTCATTTCTGTAATCTTTCTGAATTTCTTAATGAAATCTCCTTTACTGATAAAAAAAAAGAAAGAAATTCAAGTAGCTAACAAGAAGTCTGTGTATTAGAATATGTTGGGTGGGGAGATCAGCAAATGCTATGGCTGATAGCTTAGCCAAGAAAGGGGAAAACAGGGAACACTTGTATTGGGCATCTCTGTAGTAAGCTTTTGTTTTTGATGCCTTGGAGAAGTCGCAGCTCATGCCTCTCCACAGGGCACTTGTGCCTGTTCCATACACTTTATAGTAAAGTCTTTCTTCATTTATCAAAAAAAAAAAAGAAGCTAGCTTTGGAACTGGAAATAAGTCACAAAATGAACACTGCTCAGTAAATTGAAGACAAAGATGCACATGAGCTGGGTACCTCCACGTGAAGGCTTCTTGAAATTAAATTTTGATGGGAGTAGTGCGCAACCCATGCCCTTCTGGGATGGGAGGGGTTATAAGGAATGAAAGTGGTTCTGTGGCTCTTCTATTTTCAGGCCTGTTAGGTGAGGGGGACTCCACAAGGGCAGAACTATTAGCTGCACTACAAGGGGTACAACTTTCTGTATGGATTGGAGTGAGGCAGCTATTAATAGAAGGTGATTCTAAGGTGGTTGTGGGGTGGTTACAGTATCCAAGACTGCAGTTTGGTGCTTCAGAAATGAACTTAAAAGATTCAAATGGTTGACGAGAAACTTGTATGTTAGAATACAATGGGTAGGGAGATCTGCCAGTGCTATGACTGACTGCTTAGCAAGCAAGGGGAACCGAGGGAACATTTGTATTGGGCTCAAGCTGTAATCCTTTTTAGTGTTTGATGGGTTGGAGAGGTTGCCTCTGCAAGTGTCTTCTGTAATAGTTGCTCTTGATTTTTTTTTTCTAATAAATTCTTTATTTATCAAAATGTATATATATATATATATCAGATGTATTGGGGTTTAATTCCCCAAGGGGGGATTTGTAAGAGGAATAAAGAAGTGGCAACTAACCTATGCTAGCCTCCTATTTTGGGTGCTTAGCGCACTATTGTATTTCATTTTGTTTATAAATGTTAATAAATATTGAAGTACGACCAATTAAAAATAGGATTGTGTAAAATTTAATTGAATGAGTTGGGCTAACAACTTGTTTCTGGACTAAATGACAACTGAAAAACTACCAAGTATCTAATTAATTCGCGACAAAACCAAGTCAGCCATTGGCGACCTACAAATAAAATGACTGTTACTTTTTCATAACACACTTGATGCATGAGATCTCAATCTTTTGTTGATAAATATCTGAAAAATCTATTTCATGAAACCAAAATTAAAGTCAAACCAACAAATCTTGACCCCCAACAAATTTTAACTTCTCTAAATTCTAAAAACTACAATTGAACACATTCCTTTGACCATGATAGAACAAAAGATAGCCTAAAAAATGCCAAATTTGACTTAATCTAGGAAAATAGTAAAATATGTAATGTAACTAACATTGGAGTAGGAGGAACTGGAAGAAATTTGTTTTCTTTCCCCATTCTTTCTTTCCCTTCAAATACTTGTCAAGCAAGTTCCTTCTTGTCAATGCATTCTTTCCCTTGCCTTCTTGTAGTCTTGAACTTGATTCCCAACTATGAGAAAAAAAAGTTGGGACCTATCTTTTGATAAATTTCTTAAACATGATTTTTTTAATCAACCCTAAATGGTGAAAATTAGTTAAATTTTTCTTGATAAAGTTAATGTCTTTTGTGTGGTCAAAACTATGAATTAGAATTTCATCATTGTTGAAGATTGTCTTAAGTGAATAGCATGAACTTCCCCACTTCTTATGTTTTATTATTGAAAAAAGCTTCACCTATTGGTCAAAATAATTGACAATTCACCTCTTTATTATTTATTCGTGAACTACTAGTCTACAACTTAATTTTCTAACTCCTTTGCTGATACTTCAGCAAAACAGGGGGTGAGAAGGGATCATTTGTTTTGGGTTGTTTTGTAATCCTGTAATCATGTTTCCTGGGTGAGGGAGAGTTAAGAAAATTTATCTTTCCCTCTATCCTCTTTGTACATCTTTAATATTAATGAATCAGTTTCTGTTATTCATAAAGAAAAAAACAATTTTCTATGCTGTAACTTTGGGAAATTAATTACCTGAAGTTTCATTCCCTAATACTTCAGAAAAGTGCATGTCTGCAACTTTTGATAATTCTGTCCTTTGACCCATGAAATGAATCTACAAGTAGGTTGTATATACTATATACCAAGAAATCAAGATATTATGTTATTTGAAGCTCTAATATTTATTTGAAAAACATCTATGCTGTCGGAAAGACATGATACCAGAAGGCTTTGACCAATCAAAGCCCCCTTGAATTTGATAAATGACCACCTGATTGGTTACCCCTTTTATGATGCCGGTTGATTGGTACAAGTTTTTCCGGTATCATGTTCAAACCCTATTGAATTTGTTATTTTTAAGTTTTAAACTATTAATTTTGTTGTAGTTCTCTTGATTTCAATTAGCTGTCTTGTTATTTCTTGTTTTTTTTTTTCATTTTAGAAATACCTATTGGTTGTAATTCTCTTGATTTCAGTTTGTAGTTTTTGGCTAACATAGTAACCTACAGACCAGGTTTAAGATCTATTGTGACAGGATATCTTCCAAGTGCCATTCTTAACATCTTCATTTACATTGTTCCCTTTGCCATGCTCTTAATGGCTAAACTAGAAGGCTGCATCTCAAGGAGCAAAAGAGAGATAAAAGCTTGCAGCATGGTTTTCTATTTCCTAGTGGGAAATGTTTTCTTTTTGAGCTTGTTATCAGGGTCTTTACTGGACCAAATTGGACAATCCTTCACTCATCCGAAGGACTTTCCTAGTCATCTTGCAAGTGCTGTCTCTGATCAAGTAATCTTTTATTCTCTTGATCTTTCTGGCAATTAATATGACTTATGAATTTCCATGATATTGGGGGAAGGAATGGATATGGACACTATATGCTTTAGAAAACGAATGGTTAGTTGCTTGTATTTATTTTGTATGGTAATATGAAGTTTTGGTTAAGAGATGATAGAACTTGGCCTTCATGCAGAATAACGATTGTTTTTGTACAGTGAAAATTATTAATTAGAACAACAACCGCCTTTGTAGAGATGCAGTAGATTGAGTGGGCTATTATGTTTCTTCCCTTTCAGTTGTTTATATCTTTTCATTATATGTCTATGTTTTATGTTTTAGTTGGAAGGGGTATTTTGGTCATTGTAATTTGTTCATAACATCAGCATATAAATACTAATGTATGGGGTGACAGAACTGACTTTTCTGTTCCCTCCTTTTCTTCTCATCATGTATCTCCTCCTATTCTCTTCTTCCTTGACCTTTCACCTTTCTCTTCTCCTCTTCTCTTGCTTTCTTTTATTTTTAACAGAACCTATTATTTCCTGCTCAACTTCTTGGTACCAGAGCAAGGTTTCTTCATTGGTTTGGCTCATGGGAGCTTGATTGGAGTAGTCTGGTGGGAGCACCTGCTGTTTTCTCTCTTCTCCAAGAGGTGGTCTAGGGTTTTCCAAGGTAATCAGGTTTAAAATCCTTGTTGGTAGTGATTGCACAGGTCAGTTCTTTGTTTTTGGATTATCAGGGAAATCGGATTACTCCTGGAAGAGTATATATATATATATATACTGGTTGAGGGCTATTCTACCCAATCGAAGTGGTGAATAGGGGCAGCTATTTTCTCTTTTCTTGAATCTGTTTTCCTTAAGTTTGGAATTGTAAATACTACAGAGACTGCTGGAAATGGACCCAAAACTAATGGAGAAGGTTCTTCAAGGGCTGGAAGCATAACAGGTAAGAACAACTTCCAAATTCAATAGAAGCTGGATATGGCGAACTATTTGCAATGGGCCCAATCAGCTATGGTGGCAATTGGTGGAAGAGGCAAGATTGGTTATCTACGTATGCTTCTCACAGTTGAGGGGTTCAAGACAAATTACATGGTTATGACATGGCTATTCTCTACTCTATGAAGTTTCGTATTAGTCGTAACTACTTATGGGTGAATTCTGCAAATGGAATAATGCAAAAGAGACATATTCCCAATCTCTCAATTTTACTAAGATGTGACCAATCTCGGGGGGGGGGGGGGGGGGGGGGAGAGGGGAGCTAGTGTCAGTTTATTTTTCTACTCTAAAATCACTTTGGTATGAGATTGATCATTTGGAAAATATAGACTGGAAAAGTTAGAAGGATGCAGCTACTTACAAGAAATTGAGAGGAATAGGTTTTTTGAATTTCTTGTTGAACTCAACCATGACTATGAAATTGTTGAGGCCTTTGCTGTTTGCTCCTACTGTCCCAATGCTAAAGTGTAATAATGATTGAAAGGAGAAAGAAATAAAGAAGGAAGAGATGAAATATTTTTTTGCAATCATCGTAAGAAGCTGCAAGGGATACCTGCTGAAAACTTCACCCACACCTTGTACTGGCTAGACTCAAGAATAAGAAAGGAAATTCCAATGCTTCCATCGCCTTGGATATTTTCTTTTTGTTGTTGTAATGGGTAATTATCTGTGAGCCTTTATCTCTTTATGTCTCATACTTATTTCTGTAATGGGCCTGGATTAGTTTGTGGCTGATTGTGCCTTCACTAATTAGGGGCATATTAGTCTTCTTATGTACCCATTAAACACTTAATATAAATTTTATTTGAGGACTGGCTGAGAATACACTTGTGCCCATTCATTCTCTTCCCTCTTCTCTGTTCTCTCTTCTTCTTGCCCTAAACTCCATTTCGGGTTTGCAAACATTGTATCAGAGCTGTAATGATCCAACTTCTGCAAGTTCCAACTTCAATAATCCTCTCTTCTTTCCTCTATTCTCCTTTTTATTTTTGTCTATTGATTAAGAAGCCCTAGTTGTGGTCGTCACACACTAGACAGTCTGTAACTAGGGTTTCTCTTTGGAGTAGGGATCAAAGAGGAAGTTTTTCAGCCCAGTTCATGCCCTGCTAGATTGAAGTGACAGCCAGAAGCTATTTGGCTACTAGAAAGATCTGTTTTTTGAACAGATCTAGAATGGCTGAGTAGACAGCCCTAGATTTGTGCTGGAACCAAAGTGCTGGTGTAGCCGGTTGAGGTAGAAGAGTTAAGGTGGTCTGAAAAGAGTATTGTAGCTGTTTATTTTTGTGACTGAGAGTGTTCTTGCAAACCTCAAAACTGAGTTTCATCAGTATATAGGTCGTTTTTTGTGTTGGAGCTGCTATTTGTGAGCGGATAGAAGGGAATAATGTCATCAATTTCAGGAAAGTGTCTTTTAAGGACAACCAATCTGCTGGAAGGACTTTCAACCTTGATAATCCAAATTTGCACAGCTTATTGATAACCATGTGTTGATAGATGAGTAAAATTTCAGGGAATGGTCAGTCTCAGCCAAGTTGTTCATCACTTCCCAAGATCTCTTGGTGTATATTAATGTAAAGAAAAAGGAACCTAATGATGAAGATGCTGAATGCTCTACCTGGTGTAGATAAAATGCAATTGTTATGTCTTGGCTCCTTGCTTCTATGACTCCAAGAATTGCAAGGACGTCCATCATTTCCCTACTCCCATCAGATTTGGAGGAAGGTATCTAAGACTTGTGGACAACGAAAGAACAATGCTAGAATCTATAGATTAACACAAGGTATTGCTGCTCTAGAGCAAGGAGACATGTCTGAAGCCACATATTTTGTTACATTGGTTGTGGGAGGAATTGGATCATAACTTGATAATTGACTGTGATGACACAAAGGACTAGGAGAAATATGACAAACAAATTGAAGGCAGGGCATTTAAATTCCTTATCAGGTTAGATCCTATATATGAAGTTATAAGGTCCCAGATATTGGGATGGGATGAACATCCAAATCTATAGCATGTTTATTACCTCATAACGAATGAGGTAAGAAGAAAAGAGATGCAAATTGATACATAGCTGCAGCCACCTATTTAACACTCAACCCTTGTTTCCTCTAGCCCAAAGGGGGGAAGAGTTTTGACAAGAGGAATCTTAAATGTACTCATTGTGAGGGTGAGAGACACATCGAGAATACATGCTAGATTTTATATCCTCATTTGAAACCAGCAGCCTTGAGGAAGGGTAAGAACCCACAGAAGGGTCAGACACCAAGTGGGAATGTTTCCATGTGTAATAGTGCAAAGGGGTAGAAGAATACATTCATAATTTCTCCTTCATTGATGGGATAGATCACTAGTTCCCTTACCTTAGGGTCTTTCCTAGATTTCACAACTGATAAGGTAGAAAAGGGGGGAGGTAAACCTCAGCAACAGTGTTTTTGAACTGCCGTTGACCCGGATGGTCGGACCGTTTGAGCTAGGAACTATCTAGGCAATTGGTTCTGTTTTACCTCAAACCTGGTCTTTGGCTTGAATTGATCGGCGACCTGCTGACACGTTTGACCCATTCAATGGTTTTTGGCCGTTTTTTATTTTAGTTATTATTTTTTAATTTTTTTTAATTTTTTTAGTTGGAATTGGACATTCGAACCATCAACCCGGAAACCGGTGGCCAAAATGGTTCCAGTTCTAGATCATTTTTTAAAACCTTGCTCAAAAAGGGTCTCTCCCTTAATGATTGTTCTTCATGTTCCTAGTTTTGCTTCAAATTTGCTATCAGATTTGATTGTTTGCATCAGATTTTAGGTTTCTTTATCGCACCCCTTACATAGGGTTCTCTTTTTCACTTTTCTATCATGTACTTGTATGCTATTGGTCATTGTGGAATATGTAGGTTTAGAAGATGGTCCCCTTCATTGCCTAAAAGTTATCAGAATTTGAATACACCATTTTTTGGTGGGAACTATAGAACCATGGGAATGAATCTACAAAGCTTGTTTCTTGCCCTTTTGTTTCAGATATCTGGTGTTGGTTTTTTTCTCTATTTGGTTGCAGGTGGACCTTCCCTTCTAATGTGCAAAGCTTGTTTAGCTCCACAACAGTGAGGGGATTAAAAAAGAGA